TTTTTTTTGTTTTTCTGCTGTTAACGAAAACATGGGCTTCTGGAGCGGAGTTTGGGAAGTTACTAAATTCGGAGCGAAACTAGCAGGAGCAGCAGCGGTAGGAACAGCAATTGTCGCAACTGGTGGTGCTGCCGTCCCTTTTGATGCCGCGGTGGTGGCAGAAGGATTTTGTATTAGCCAGGCGGTAAAATCTGCCGCAGACGAAGGTCTTATTGACGAGAACGGAGTGGTGTCAGAACTCGGTGAAATTGTTGGCGAAAGTCTTATGGGCGGAGGCGGTGATGCGATCATTGGTGGCCGCGTATCAAAGGCAACATTAAAAGTTTTGAAAAAATAATAGTATATTATGAAAGTTTCTAATACTTGCAAAAAAAAGCGTTTTCCTTGAAAACGTCGATTTATTGATAGCCTTATTTCATCTACTATCATCGTGTCTTTTATCTACTTACTCAAATATTTTTTTCCTGATTTTTTGTAAAGTTGAATTATTTTTTAAGCCTTACGGCAAAAGTTTTATTTTTTTTCTCCTGGCAGTCAGGTTTTTTTAGTTCTTTTTTACAATTATTTTTTATATCTTTTTATATTTTTATCTATGTATTTTTTTAAGTTTTTAGTCGCGACAGTATGATTTTGGGATAAATAAAGTGTTTTGTTAAATTTATTTATTTGCCGTGTCGATCAATCTTGCTAAAAAAAAGATAATGGATAAATATTTCTTGTGGCAAAAGATGTTTTTTTTCGCTAAAAATTTGAGTGGTTCGCCAGGAGAAAATGGCAAAAATGAATATATATCATATATGTAAATAAGTTTATGAAACTACCGAAATTACTAATTAATATTAAAACTGTCATGGTTCCAACTAACTATTCTGACATTCGTGGAATGTTTAAAGAATTACAAGCAGTAAAGGTTACTGCTACAATTTTTGAAGTGCTTAATTTAGAAAAAATAAACATACTTAAAAGTTATCTGGAAGAAAACAAAATCGATTATGACGTCTGATATTCGAAAGAAAAAGAAAGATTTAGAAGAGAAAAAATTGGATACAAAAAAAGCGGCGAAGAAGACAAAGAGAATTTAATGCAAACAGATGAAATTTCACAGGCGGAGAAAAAAGAGCAGGAATTGAAAGAAAGAGATGGGATTATTAAAAATCTTAATAAACAAATTACTGAACTAAAAGCAGCAAACAATAACCTAGCACGAGAGTTAACAA